AAACCCACAGTAATCTTGCTGTGGTGATCTGCAGCAACAGCCAGATCGATTGTCACTGTGGTTTTGTTATGTTTGCTGGTTTCATGAACTGCTTTCTCAAGGGTTTATTATGATAGGCTCCCAGTAAATCTAACTTATGTGGAATTCTAAGAATCACAATTTTGGTGTGAATTCTTGTGCAGTTGAAGGAACATCAACTGCCCCAAGAGCTGCCTCAGCCTGTTTCTCTCCTCCTCTCTTATCAGTCAGTTTTGGAACTGTGAAAAATAGCCTTGTCCCTTCCTACATACCTGGCATTTAAGTGGGCAGTGATTGTTCATTTAAAATTAATCTGAGGGGTAGGTGTTTTCTGAGTAAAAACAATTTTTTTTGTGTGTTTGGCCTTTTTTTTTTTTTTCGGGGTGGAGGGGGGGTGTTTGTCTCCTTAGGGTTTTTTTGTTTAGCTATTTTTTGTGGGGTTTTTTGTTTTGGTGTGGGTTTTTTTTTTATTTTTGCTGTTATGGTATATTGATATATCACGGTGTATCTGTAGACTGATGTGAGAGCAGAAACATGAGGAGGAAGAAATTTTCAGTAAGATCATTCAGAGGTTTTTCTCTCAGAAGCCTGTTGTATATTTGGATGTCCACCTATATGATCAGGAATGTGTATAACTGCAGTGTCTTTTCAATGGATCTTGATTAGCATCTTGGGTATTTAGATATATTTCTATCAGTACACAAATTTTCTGGAAACTTATAGCCATCTTCCAACTTTCAGCTCTGCCCCTATACTACCTGTCTCTTTCCTGCTTCTTCCTCAGCACTGAGCCTCCTTCGTTGTTGATGTTTGATAGATAACTGGAAAGGAAAGGAATGGCTCCTCTTCAGGCAAACAGTAAAACACAAATACCAAAGAAACAAACCCAAAACACTAATTGTTTAGTGGAAGCCACTTTGGTGTGGCTGAAACTCTGGATTTGAAGTCACACTTTGTCAGCACCTTGAGGCATGCCTGTATCTTAGCACAGCCTGTCCCCCACATTGTGTATTCCCTCTTGCATCATGTCAGAAAGTCTGGGAATAGCAGTGATCTTTCCCAAAGGCCTCTTGTTTGAAGCATTGAAAGTGTTTTTCCCACTTTAGAAAATTCAATGCCAACTTCCTCGCAATATGCAGAAAAACTCTTCAGTGATATGATTCTAACATTGAAAGGAGGCAAAGTGGCATATATTAATTTATTGGCTACTAGAGCAAAGGTTGTCTTTAAAAATATGTGTCTTTTACCTATGCTTTGTGATGGACACACATCCTGAAGACTGGCACAGGGCAAAGGGAAAATCAATTAAAAATGCATAATGATATTGTAAATATAAAATAGCTAGATAAATACAATATGACAGGGAGAAGCCAAGAAGGCTTTTAGAATAGCAAATCTGTGCTCTAAGATATATTGGAATTGTTTGGAGTGAGTTACCATGTGGTAAAAAGTCATTGCATAGGCTACCAGGGACGTTCACAACACTTTTGATAAAAGCCCTTTTCAAAGCAACATGAGAAGTTTCATTAAAGAAGTTCAGCTAAATAATTTTGGAAAGAAGAAAAATAAAAAAATATTCAGTAAGGATGAGGTGATGATGCCAGTGTAGAAACTTGTAGGCATTGTTGATTGATTGATTGATGGACTGATTTGTAACTTAGGAAAGGTTTCCAACGGGAATAAAAGTGATCCAGCTTTACTCAAAGATTAGGATTTTCCAAGTCTGCTAGAAGATTTTTTAGCTGTATTTTTTCATGTAACTGCCTGTTCACATAGTTGTGCCCATGTTCATTCTTACTCACTAAGTTATGCCTGTAAGACCACAAGGTTTATAAGCATCAAATAGAAAAACAAGACGGGGAGAGAATTTGATTCCTTAAATGCAAGTCAAAATTTCCTATAGTCATCCTCCTTTTCTGTAGGCCTGTACATCACAGGCCTTAATTCTTCTACAGGAGGACTTTGACCATCGGACTTGACGCCATTTGTTCTCTGTGTTGATGTAAATATCAAGAAAAAGCTGCAGGTTTTGTAGGGAGCAGTTTATTCTTTTCTGCTTTTGCTGCAGATGGTTGAATTTGCTCAGGCTGCAAGAACTGCAAAAGTACATAATGAAAGAGAAAATTATACTAAAAATGGAAGAAATTATGCAAGAGAGAAACTTGTTTTGCCTTTAGCAAAACGTTCACAAAAGTTTCTTTAGTGGAGATATCCATATCTGGGGATATTGCTGGTGATTTCTTGCTTACGGAAACCTCTTTTCCATTAGTCCAAAAGAGCACAATGTCAGTAAGAGTTGGGTCAGGGTGCTAATTATCTTTGTGAAAAATAGATGAGTAGACAGTGCAGGAGATAGATATGTCCTAATTTGTTGGGGGCTTTTAAAGATAAATGGCCTTGAAGTAGATTTGTTTTCAAATGAATAGCCAGTAGAGTGTTCAGTGCAGTGGCACAGTGAGTTCTCATCAGTTTTTCTCAGAGTGATGAATGTTGCATATTCTGTCTGTTGATGTGGTCTTTGCCATCAGATGTCCCAATATATTAATAGTTTTTAGGGCAATGGTTGTAAATTATTGCAGCCCAATTTTATTACTGTTTTACATCTACCAAGGACTGAGCCTCGTGTGCAGCTTTATATTAACTCAGCAGGCACCATTAAAATATTGACATTTAGGCTCATTTTGTCAGCATTAATCATACCATTAATCATAGCATTTTATTGTGCCTTAATTGTATGAAATGACTGGTTTGAAATGACGGGAGTGTTCACTTCTCTAAAAGCAGGTGAAACAATAATTTCCATTTCTCTACTTTTTCAGCCTATAACTGCCCTTTAAAAAACTCAAACAGCAACGAACCCTAAAGACACCCCTCCTGCCCCCATCTCCTAACTGATTGTGATGTGGGCAATTCTTTGCAACAACTGAATGTGTAAGGCCCAGCAGCTCTTATGGGCCTCACTGGAAGCTCTTGGAAGTGTCATCTCTGAAAATCAGCCTCTGAAATCTCAGTGTACACACCTACAGCCAGGCCTTGGCTTCAAGAATGTACCCTAATATATATAACAAGAGTACTTCTGATGTGCAAAAAGAAAAGCTGAAATCATATGCTGAAATGGTTTAAGGGTTTAAAACAGGCACAGAAATGCCTTTTGTGATTCAGCAGCAAGAATAGGCTTACAGCACCCGTGCCTGCTTTGTATTACTGTACCAGTAAGAGAACCTGGGATATTTGCTGGCTCTTTTCAACAGAGAGCATCACTAGATGATTATGTTTAATACAAGGAGTTGGCAGCCTTTCTCACTTAACAATCATTAGGAGATCTGCTGCTGAGGTCCCATTTTGTGAGGCAGCTGGAAATTGGCACTTAGTTTGAATGTATTGTTTTCTACCTTTCCCTTAAAGTTCAAGGACAAGGCAAAACTGCGCACAGAAAAAACTTTTCTCGCTTTCCTTTGTTTACTTGGTCTTTCCACCTCTCCCTATGAAAATTTATTCCCATATATATACATGGATTAAATGGAAGTGAGGACAGTGTCAGCAAAGATGGAAGCAGAAGGCTTGAGGGAGGGTATTTGAAAGCACCAGGCTATGATAATCATGTAGAAGATAGCTATGATAGTCATGTAGAATTTTCACTGGAGTAAAAATCATCTTGGTCTTCATTTCTATTTCTCTTGATTCTTCTGAAGGAGGACAGTACTGTTACTTCTGTTTAAGGAAACTGAGGCCTCAAATGGGTCAGTAGGGAGGAAAACCCTAAATCACTCAAAGGGAAAGGCGCCGAAGAGGCAGGATAGTGGTATCCCAGTCTGCTAACCTTCACTTTGTTCTCCTAATAAGGCATTTAAATAATTATTTTAAAGACTGCCCCTTCCAATTCCCATCCCTGTATGTTCTTTCAACTTCAGCATTTTGACCAGCTCTATTTTCCTCAATAACATGATATGGCTTAGGCCACAGGCTTCTGCTGTAGCCTTCTGCCTCCTGCTGTACTGGATCTTCTCAAAAGACTTTCTAGTGATAGAGGATTTCTTTTTTCAATTACAGTGGCTTCACATGACCAAATATTATTCATTAACTTGATTGCCTAAGGATATCAAGCTCCAGGGGAAACTTGTATTCCTATATGATTGGCAAGATAATTAGGAAGTGAAATAATGCAAATCCCACGGCAGGCAGCTGTCAAAGATTTACGTATTTATTCTTTGAATTCAAAGTGTGTCATATCATGCATCCTTCCTTTCTTTTAAGGCTTTTCTAACTGCAGGTTTATTATCGACCTTCAGCATGCACGTTTACAGGGACAGGAGGCTTTATGAGCTCAATTAAGTTGGGCTGGTAAATCCACTGAGATTTTTAGTCTGCAGTATCACCTAGATAACACAGGCTAAAGTACACTTTTGCTTTTACTAGCTTTTGATTTTAAGCTCCTGGGTCACGGCCTTTCATTCTGTATTTGTAGAGTATCTACCACAATTAGAGCTTATACATGATAAGGAAACACAGGCACAGAAGCCGCTGAGGGCAGCCAGAGTTCTGCATCCTCCAGGAGGGTGGAATATTGGGTATAGGTTAGAGACATCTTATATGGAGTCTCCTCCAGCCTTCCCCATTAACAGAGACCAGGGTAAGCACATATCAGTAATTGCTGCATCCAGGCAGCAGTAGCAAGTGGAAGATGAAATGAGAGAGCTGTATAGATGTGGGGTCCTGTTGAGGATGGCCTTCAGTAAGTAAAAGTCACTTATAAATTAAGCATGTAGCAAAACCCTGCCTAGTAAAAGGTATCTTACGAAGTTCTGACAGTTTTTCAATCTGGCAGTGGTAAAACCTGAGAAGCAAGTGGTAATACCTGAGTATTAGTGGAGTTAGTCTGATGTGGTTGGACTAAAATGCATCTGGCAAAAATAAAATTTAAAAAAAAGGACAAAAAAAAAAATCAATATTCTTGCTAATGAGAGCCAACATTTATCTTACAGGGAACCTGAAGTTTTGCCTTCTGATTCTGAACCAGCCTTTGAACAAAGATCATTTCCATTGTCTGTGGAACAGAGGTAATAATAACTTACATACATCTTCATTTGCTTATTTTCTTAGCTGTTACCCAGCTAATGTACTTCATGTCTGTTGAATTGCAGTGTGGTGATTTCCTCTTTACTAGAGCAGCCTTCTGGTGAGGCTGTGAACTGGCAGAGTATGTCCCTTGTTGCTGAATGCAGCGAATGAGCTGATTATGCAAATTCTGCCTCCTTGCATTGCACACGTCAGAGGGAACTTTGTGCACTGATCTGTGTAAGACTGTAGCTTTTCAGAGGCTTCTTAGGAACAATCATTGTTTTGCTGACAAAGTGTAGGAGATCAATGGTGCATTGAAGATTCTGGAAGTGAGCACTTCTTTAAAGGTCATCAGTGAAAAGTGTTAAATTTAATCAAAATAAAATGAACCGTGTAGATACTAAGTTGTGAAAGCGGTGGGGAATTTGCGTGCTTGTCAGAAATATGCAAATCAGATTTCACTACTCCTTTGTTAAATAGGCACAGTGCTAATCATCATCTCTGGTATGATAGCTTCAGATTTGCTGACATTTTGTGGCGATATGTAAATCTTTACAAGCTTGGAGCTATTAATTCCTCCATGCAGGAATGTAGTCCTTCAGAAGCTTTCTGAAAAGCCACAGGAACTGTCTCTAACTTATTCTCAGGATGGGAACCTTGCAGAGAGATTCCTCTTAACTGACTGGAGCAGATAGAGCTATTTGGTTGCACCATAGGCAGAAGGGCTGGCAGGGGGTAGCTGTACAGTTAAAAGGAATTGAAATAAGGGATGAAGTGAGCTGGATATAGTCGTAGTACTTAATTCCAGTAAGCCCAAATTAGGTACCCGCATAGCCAGAGGAGTGATAAAAAAAGGAAGATAGTTGTACAAGATGATTCAAAGCATCTGAACAAGTGCTGTACCCCAAACAGATTCACTTTCATTTGCATAATCAGCAAGAAAGTAACAAGCACTCAGTGGAAGGGTTGTCCAGTTATTTTATAGATGCGATTCTACATATTTTTTTCATTTTAAAAGATGCACTGAAACACTAACACAAATACCTGCTTTGTATTAAATAGACAAGGAGTGAAGCATTTGATCTTATTTCTATGTCCCACCTTTCCTGTTTTCAGGATTGGGGTTAAAAAAAAGAGACATTGAACCAGACATGCACAGTTTCTGAATGGCAGTATTTAGTGTCTCGTAGTACCTTGCCTGTGTTGCTTTAGTGCTGTATTTCGTTGATCAGACTTTTGTTTTGTCTGTCCTTTAGAATATTAAGTCTTTAAAGTTGTTTTTTTTTTTAAACTTTAAGGCTTCCTCATTTGCTCAAACCATGGGGCACAGTGTTCTTACTTATGACTTTTGCTGGCAGATTACTTTAAGAAATAGGTAGGTATTTTGTCAGTAAAATGGCAGATGTAGGTGGTTAGATGGTAAACATGAAATGTTTTTCTTCAAAGCATCTCAGCTGCAGCAAACCTTAGTGAACCCAGGACAAGGTTTTGGTAATGCCTGGCTTACAGTGCTAGTGGACTACTTTAGGTGTCAGCAGTTTTCTGGATGCTGCCTCTGGAGGAGGGATTGTTAGCACAGGGACTGTTGCAGAACTGCAAGAACCTGGAGGTTTGGTATGTGAACTGAAAGAGGTTCTGAAGGATTCATCCTTAGGAACAATGCTTGATGACCAGCTGTGTATGCTTGAGATATCATAAAGGAGAGATGAGAAGGAAATAATGGGGCTCTTAATCCACAGAATATTGCTAGCTACACAAACTTGCAGAGAAAGGGAGAGAAAAATGCAAAGGAAAAATAAGATAAAATATTGTCCCACTTCTCTGAGTTACAGGAATCTTGGGTTGTTATACTCAGTACAGAATGCTGAAATGTGTTATTTTCAAGTAGTTGGGTCCTATTGTCCTGATTTAGGGCAAATTTGGGAGGAAAGCAAATGATACAAGTATCATAAAGTTACCCTATGACACCCATCAAAATAACTTCTTGTGTTAGTCATGTCACTTTATTGTCAAGTAAAAAGTGAGATGTCCTAAGTTAAAAAAAAAAAAATCACATCAGTAAGTGGCTATTCTAGGCTAAAATTATCCCAGGTGTAACTCCTCTTGACCTTGAGAAAAAGTGGTTTCAGCTAATTAACCTTTGTCTTATTACACACATTTATGAAATCTATTTTTACTGACATACTTTCTAAAGAACTATTTCAGTCAGTACAAGTTTGCATGAACTTCCTTCCTTGTGCTTTGTGAAGGACACTAAAACCAGATTTCATCACTTCCAAGAGACCTCTTTTACCATTCTTGCCATACAAGCTGGGTAAGTGACAATAGTGAAGGAGTACAAGCTAAGGACTATATGATTTTAGTCTATTGTATATCATGACTGTAGTGAATCAGTCTAGAATATGTTCACTTGTTTGGTACAGTCATGCAGTTTTAGTGCTGTCCTAAAAGCAGGAGGGAGGAAATGCTGGAGAAGGGACAGTTTGCAAAAGTAGGATGAAGACTAATATGGCAGACAACACTGGTTGTTCCCTGAAGGATTTATTGGGCTGCATATTGTGAGAAGGGGAAAAACCAAATGGCAAGAGAAATTAAAGAGAATAGATTAGTGAAGGGGAATAGGAGGTAATGTGGAAAATGTGTCAAAGAGTCAGGACCCTGCTTTTCTCAAAGCTGCACACTTTTCTGTCTGTGAGTTTTCTATAAGGAAGACTAGATCCAGTAGGCCTTACCTTAACAACACTGTCATGCATCCTAAATCCCTGCTTATGCAAAATTTCTAGCTCCTGGTTTGAATCCTATTTAATAGAAAAAATATAGTTGTGAAAAAATCCAGTTTGAATTAGTCTCTGGGGCTACTTCTCAAGTGATTTCAAATGTAAATATATCTTTCACAAAATTGACTGTGAGTTGAAAGTCTGAAGCTGTCTTTATGTTAAGTTTGAAAAGTACAAAAGCCCAGGTTTTAGTGGCTGAAAACAGAATGGGCTTTCTGGGGAGTAAATGAAAGTTCCTGAGACTTTGATTCTGCTTTTAAAAATCTCTTTAATCAGAAATGCAATGACATACTTATGCCAAGAATTACAGCTATGTCTAGTGCTGAGTGCTCTGACTTTTTGATGTCTCCCTAGGGAAGAGGCAGAATATTTGAAGTGCTGAGAAATCACCTCAGTGAAATTTGCCTTAAGTTCAGGATCTGAAAATTGTTTCTTGTTTCTGAAAACATTACCCCTACAATGTGATGCTACTCAAATGATCCAAAATCTCTTTATGTCTCTGCTTTATGATAGGATGTTAAATGGCTATACATTGCAGAGTGCTTTCCACTCTTAAATGTTGACACTGACAGCTCTAAAGAACAAGGAGTTATGCTCTGGAAAATAAGATTATTATTTAAAGACAGAGTGAAATGACAACATTCTATAGCAACCTGATGATGTTGGGCTTTACAGTAGGAAAATGTGTCCATATGTATTTTTTAGTTCTCACAATGGTTGTCATACATTGGCCACTGTGCCTTCCTCAAAAGGATTGTGATTTCTTTCCACAAATAAATACTTTGCATGAAAGCTTTTCATCAAACAAAACATGTCGAACAACTTCAAATATTAGCCATTCTTACTACCAAATGTCCTTGACTAATGTATTACAATAAGCTACCATCATTCCTTTGGAAGGGGCTGACTGAATCCTGACTTGTGGGAGGTGTATTTAATGTTGGACAAGTCAACAGATAGCAGATATCTATGAAACCATGCTGCAAAAATATCCTTCAGGTGCACATCCCTAAACAGTCCCTTCCATAGACAATTCTTTCCAGTGAAGGAATTTGGGGTCTATCTGCATCATCTTGTGCTGCTCTGCAGACAACATGACCAGCCACTTCATATGCATAGTGTATGGGCATTTTATGGCACCTTGTAGATCATGAAAAGGGAGGAACTCCAGAAAGAGGAATGTTGCTCATCCTGGAGGCTCCAGCTCTAGATTGTATGTGAGGTCTATGTAGTGAGATAACAGAAAGCATTCTTCAATGGCAGCAGTGTAGTAAGTCAAATCCAAACTCTGTGAAAGTGTCTTCAAATGGTATTTTCTTAGACTATTTATGTTGTGATGGCTTATCCATAAACTGAGTTTTCTCTATCAATACCCATATTGGAACTGCTCAATCAAAGCATCTGTTGCATTCCAAATCGTGTGTTGCATGTCAGGCAACTTTCCTGTCAAGGCCAGCCTACTCTTTACTGAAAATGCCAATAATGAATGGTTGGTTAGCACCTAGAGGTGACTGTGCATTTCCAGATATCTCTCCTAACTAAACAATCAGATCAGAAAAGGTGCTGATTTGTATGAACGATTTCCAAGTCATCTGTCTTTGAATGCCACATGCTGCAATACATTTTATGTTCCATATGCTTTTGTCTGCAGTGATTGATATATAATTGGTGGTTGATATTTTTAATGTCTTCAATTGAGGTTTAAGAGGGAAATAAGATTTAAGTAGCAATACAAAGTTCAGGTATCAGTTCAGATGTACAGAGGGGAAGGTAACAGATCAGTTGGAACAGTTTTAATGTCTGAAGAAAAGATATTGTAGTTTAATAAGAGGAGGGGAAATAAGCTGACTTTCCCTGGTACTATTTTTTTCTTCTCTATGACTAATACCTTTTCCTTTAGGTGAGTTCAACCCCTAAAGACTACACTTGCAGAATTATTAGTATGTGCAGCCATTCACTTGCCCTTTTACCTGTCATCCAATGAGCTTGCCTTGTTGGCATATGGTGAGCTTTTTTCTCACCTTTTATTTTCATTTCTAGCTGAACTTGCTTGAATTATATCTCAGATTTGTACTGGACCCAGAATTGGCAGTTGGCATAAAACTTGAGGGAATTCAGAGCAGCTACTATTAATAAATAGGAAAATGTTCATAAAAATGGTGATTGGGATGTCACATGGACCTGTATGCTTTATTGCACTTCCTAGCAGGCATCCAGACTAG